TTGCCGCCGATGATGCCGCGTACTCCTCCCCTGAAGCCGCCTCTAGCAACAACAAGAGATGTTGCAAATGAGATTAACACTAATGCCACAAACACCAACACAACAAACCTCCTCATCATGTTGAAAAATAGCCTAAATTGTATTCTCCGGACTGTTTTAGAGAAACTAAAGTGTAATTCTCATATCAAACAAAATGTATATATGAAATATAGAACTCTGTTTAGGTTTATAACTCTGTTTAGGTTTATATAGTCTGAGGCAACTGTCCTCTTAACATTTAAAATGAAATCAAAACATGCTAAAATCTATGACGGGTTAAACATATTAAGGATGTCATTAATCTAACATATTTTCTTTAAATGAAAGAATCCGAAGATTTTGAGGATTTTATTTTAGAGGCTAACTAGTTTTTACCCAGACGTTGCCCGGGATAAAGCTTCCATATGAAATTTAATTTTAAAATTATATGATGCTTCTATATTATGAGCTGAGTTTTCTAATTTTCATTTGAAATAGCATTGAAATGTTTATCAATAGTATAATAACAAAGAAAATATAGAATATAAAACACTTCAAAACGATTAAGAGACATTAAATATTTGAAAGATTGTGTTTCTAAATTTTAGAAAACGTCTTTGTAGATAACATTATGGTCCTGATTAAAAATTCTCAATCTTTAGATTGAATTAATACCTTTAATCCATTTTTGCTCTTAATCCTTGATAGGACAACACAAAGCTGGCCGTTTGCCCGTGCATGAAGACATTTTTCTTAAGATAAGTTTTTAGAAAATTCTCTTCAATGGCCAAATACATATTTATTGACGGCTGCACTTGTTTTTTCTTAGGGAAAATGTCTAGACCACCACATCTCACTTGTTGATAAATTATGGGCCTACTATTATTAATAAACTTGGTAAATGTTCCCCGACATTTATTACACTAGCACTGGTGCTTTTTCGTGAAAAAGAAACATATTTATTGATGACTGAGAATTGTCTGTTTGAATCCTACTTTTTTTATAACCCTCGTGCAAATTAAAGAGTTGTTCAAGGAGAGAATGGACAATGGGCATATGAACTTGAAATATAAAAATATACTCCCTCCATCCCGCTAAGATTGTCTCATTTTACCTTTTCGGGAAGTCCCACTAAGATTGTCCCATACCAAATTTGGTAAAGATTGTGTGACTCTAAATTAAACCATTCTTACTTTATTCTTACTTTATCAATTTAATATCAACCACACAAACTCACTTTTCTTAATATTCGTGCCACCTTCTCTTGTCCCAATCTTAGTGAGACGGAGGTAGTATTATTCATTTTGAAAAATTCAATTGTATATTTTTACTTCATTTTATTTGAGTGAAGTTGTATGTATACGTGTGTACTATATATAGATGTAATATATGTGTTCCTGCTATTTTTATTATTCTTGATGGAGTATATTCCCATATACCCCCAGGGGTCAAGATAATAATGAATGTATCTCTGTAGTCGACTAAGGAAACACCAACAGGCCGAGGTTGAGCTCGTTAGCCAAGCCAAGACATGGGTCAAACCTAGTTCTGAGATTAACACAAAAAAATCCAAAATTGGATCCACAGTCGAGCCCTTAACCCAGGTCGAGTGTGAGGTTGAACATGGTTCCCAGGATAGCAAGAGAATCTCAAAACTGCAGTCGAGGCTGGATTCGATACACCTGGTGAGTTGGGCATCATCGTGAATCCAAGCTAAGTTCATTACACCTGAACTGAGCATCAATGTATATCTAAACAACGTTACACATGAGCTGAGCACCATCATGCATCCGAGCTGAGAAACCCCGCTACCCAAGCCAATAAAAGCCGAGCTCGAGACAAAATATATATACTTAGACATTTTAGCACAAATAATCCAAATATGTTAAAGATGATATCACCATGGAATAGTTAACTCTAGGGCTAGCATTCACAAATTAGCTGTCATGTTGTACACATGTGGCCACCTAAGCATTCTGTTACATAAGGACAATCATTTGGGACATCCAATCAATCAAGCAATTAATAAGTCTAGATGAATCGATACATGGGTCAAACTCTAATTAGGTTAGCTAACTATTTTTACTTGTTCTGAGGATACAGTTTTCACTATAAAGGATCACCATCCAGATTGTGGATGACAACCCAAAATCTGAGTTTCGCATACCATTACTCTATCATTTTTATTACTCAAAGTTTTCCCTATCTAGCTTCACTCTAGAACTTTCACACACACGGACGATCTTACGGACTACCAACTCCCTTCCTCTTACATTAAGCTTCTCATTTTCTCTTTTAGATGTTCTACAATAATGCAGGTAAAACTTCACGTTTCTATTTTATGAAATAATGAACACTCTTAAATGACATTTTTTAATCACCAAATTTTAAAAAATATACCTACAATATCACAACCTCATTATGTTATATACATATCAAAACTACTTCTCATAATATACTTGAATTACCTTATTTAATTATTGTATCAAATAACCATGACATTTTTTAATAAGAAACTTAATCTGCGATGGAGATTGTAGTATAAAAGTTGGGCTCTTTAGTAGAAAAATGTACATACTATCCACAAGCTATGCCCTTTAGGAAAGTAATTGAAACTTTTAGAAATACAATTTTAAATCAGGTAGCCAAAGGGGAATGTTAATTAGGGTAATCTTGTAAAAAAAGTGACTGTCAAGGTTAAGGGGCAATCAATAACCTCTATTGAAATTTGTCAAGAGCAATAGAAATAGCAGAAATATCATTTTTCTTTTGGTTAAAATAGCTGACTTCACGTTTGGAATGACACTCTTGAATAACACAATGGGTGTTATAAAAATATACTCCCTCAGCACTTCGAACTTTTTTTGCTTTGATTGATCAAGTAGAAAACTGAAACTTGATGCGATGCAGAAAGTTACGTGTTGCTAGCCGCTATGAATGATTATGTGCATCTATTTATAGTGTGCTCAAACGGATCCTACGAACATTGAGGGTACGTTTGGTTCAAGCAATGTCAAATTACCATGAGAATGTTAGATAGATATCTAGGAATGTGATTAATGTGTAACCCATTTGTGTTTGATTACGATTAAGGGAATGTGACAGTGAGTTGTTTGGTTGAATGATATCTTACATAGTTTTTGAATTACTTAAATGCCCTTTAAATATTTGCCCCTTTACACATTAAACTTATTACAAAGTAATTAAAATTAAAGAAAAATAAAACTTCTTAAGAATAATTAAAATGAAAACTAATTGAATTAATTTTAAGAAAAGTATGTTTAATTGCACAAATGACTAATATCAGAGAACATTAGTAAATAATCCTAAGCAAAATATGTTTAATTACACAAATGCCAAAGATTAATGGGTATTTGTGGAATAAAATTAAAAAGCAACCAGGAATGTCACAAAATATAAGACCTAAGTGGGTTTCACATGAAGGGACATGTGATTACTTTTTCACTTTTTGGGAATGTATTACTCCAAAAACATTCAAACCCACGAACCAAACGCATATATCTCACATCCCGGGCATCAGATTCCCACCTACATAAGATATTCACTCCAACCAAATGTACCCGAGAGTTGGGAGGACGCGGTCCAGTCCAGATGGTCACCGACTCACTCTCCCTTACGGGAGGTCTCGGGTTGGAAACTGAATTGAGTGAGTTGGCCCACCCTAGAGTTGGATTTGTACTAGGAAGATCCTGGCGGTTTAGGGCTCCAACTAAGGATGGCAATGGGGGTGGGAACCCGTGGGGAACCGCCCCACGGGGGAAGGATGGGGCGGGGCGGGGATGGGTGAGATATTTATACCCTGCTGAAATATGGGGCGGGGATGGGTGAGATATTTATACCCTGCTGAAATATGGGGCGGGGGGATGAGGATTGCTACACCCGCCCCGCCCTCCGCCCCCGTTACAAATATATTCTCAAATATATATATATATATATATATATATATATATATATATATACATACATACATACATAAATTAGTTTCCATTTATACATAAATAAATGGAAACTAATAATCCAACCTTTTAGCGGTCTTCTTTTAATAGTCCCGCCTTTTCGTTATTCATGAATAATCCAACCTTTGCACCTCATCTTCATTCACTGGTCTCTGACCGATTGATGACCTGCTATTCCAAGTTATTTTCTTATCTTTGCAAAATATTATCTTTGTGAAAGGTGGAATTTATGGTATAATAGTTTGCAGAGATAAGAAAATAACTCGGAATAGCAGGCCATCAACCGGTCGGGAACCAATGAATGAAGATGAGGTGCAAAGGTTGGATTATTCGTGAATAACGAAAAGGTCGGACTATTAAAAGAAGACCGCTAAAAGGTTAGATTATTAATTTCCATTTTCCCTAATTATATGTAGTATATAACAAACACATACATATACATATAGACATACATACATGCATGTGTATTAGTCAGGATTAATGAATTAATACTACGTAAATAATAATAAGTAATTACTAACAATTTGTATCATAAATGATATATGAGTTTTAAAAGTGAGAAATTGAGTAAATAGAACACACACACGCGTGTGTGTATAATATATAATTAATTACGTAGTACACCCTCCGTCCCATTTTGGTTGTCCTACTTTCCTTTTTGGGTTGTCCCAAAATGAATGTCTTGTTTCCTTTTTTGGTATGAAATATGTGGTTCTTATCAATTTACTTTATTTTACTCAAATCTCAAACACAACTTTTAATTTTCAACCACTTTATTAATAATCGTGGCAAATTGAAAGTGGACAACCATTATGGAACGGATGTAGTATATTATAATTGATAAGAAATTTGGAACGACATACATGATGATGATATGTTTACTTATATTTTAAGTTTTATTATTTTCAAAGAACTTGTTCAAATTGAAGAATTATATATCTATAAAAATGGATTTAAAAAATATGCAATTAAGTTAATTAAAATTTATAACGGTGGCGGGGCGGGTTTGGGAAAAACGGGGAGTGATACCGCCCCAAATCCGCCCCATTACCATCCCCAGCTCCAACTACTTATCTTCTTTGCACATATATACGTACAGACCCAGCGTTAGGTGTGTGTATGCACCAAGTACACAGGTTTTTCTATGAATTGCGCTCCGGACTTTTATATATTCCCGCCGCTAGCTCCTACCCGTCGCCATTTTGGCCTAACTCAGGTTTTTCTATGAATCATTTCCTCACTCGTTATTGCTTTCAAATCTTAAATCGTTTATGATGCTGAAATCTAGTAGTTTCGGTTCCCGGAATTATGATGGACTAGAAAAATGGTGAGAACTGTGAAGAGTCATCACGAAGGGGATGAAGATGACGACTTGGATTTTTCTTCCAGAGCTCTTGATGATTCCTCCGAGAAGGGTGCGTCTCCTAGCTTGTATCGTGCATGTAAACAGCATTACGAGCCTTTTCCTATTTGTGTTTTTACACTGCTAATGTTTGCAGTTACAATGGATGGGAGGAGCAGTGATCAGAAGACGAATACACTTCGGTCCAAGCACTCTGAGACAGAGCAGCGAAGGAGGAGCAAAATCAACGAGAGGCAAGATCACGTTTTTTTAGAAATATATTATCTGCAAATTGTTTGGTTTTGAATTTCAATGAGGGGAATGAGCAGGCCTATAAAAGGGGCTAGATAGGATCATTTTGGTCTTGGCTGCATGGTCTGACCATTTGTTTCATTTCAGTTTGAGGAAGTTGTTGCATAATCTGCTCAATTTTTAACATGCACGTCGAAAGTAGATTGACTGTTGTCCATGACATATTGCTAATTTCCCATTCACTTTCAAGTTACGGAGTATTAACGATTGCATCACCACAAGAGTAAAAATTTAATTGAACATATAAGATTGACTTGAAGTAAACTATTTTTTTCCTTGAAAAATAAATAAGAGCTGTATTACTATGAACTTTTACATGTCAAATGATCTTTTCTACTCATTGGAACAACCTTTTTTTAAAATGCTGCAACCATAAAACTGTTAGAATCATAGTTGCTAAGTACTTCAAAGTTTTCAATAGTTAAGGACTTGATTTCATTCCACTGACCTTTTCGTTCTATAATCAAGCTAGAATTTCAATAAGGGGTTCGAAAAGTGACTGAAAAGGGGTCCACACATGCAAGATTAAATTGTGACGTGGATGGAACTCTTTGTCAATTGTCATTTTGCACCCTTATTTTGAATGTGTGGTTGTGAATAATCCTTGTATTTCCACTTGATTTGGCATGTACAAAGTTATGTAGGATTATAGCTCACTTATAATATACTTATCAGATTCCAAACATTGAGGGATCTCATACCTGAGAATGATCAGAAGAGAGACAAAGCTTCGTTCTTGCTGGAGGTGCATTGTTATACTCTCTGCTCGTTGTATCTTATCTATTTGAGAATGCCAGGAAACAGACTTATTCTCTAGATTTGGCGTTACTTGCAGGTTATTCAGTATATTCAGTTTTTAAAAGAGAAAATACAGATGTATGAAGGAGCAAGCCAAGATTGGAGTCCAGAGCCCTCAAAGTTGATGCCATGGGTAAAATCTGCTACATATCATACTCAGTTGATTTTGAATGCTCTTACTCGTGGTAGCTGAATGTAAGTTTCTATGAAAGAGTTCATGATAGCTGAATAGACAGTATACTGGGCTCCGTAGATAGTTATATGTTGAGTCGATGTTCAACATGGAAGCAGTGTACATATGATTGTTTTCATGAAATTGGTTAATGGCAAATGCATCCATCAATGCTCTTTGTCATTGATGTATCATGTATGGGGCATATTCAGCATCAGCCTGAAAATACCCTTAAGCACTGCCTAATTCAAATTTTAGGGGCATAGAGTGGCTGAGGCTAACAGTGATTTTTTGTAAGCACATAATATTGATTTATTCTAGAGGTTGTATGAGGGTAAAGTCTGACAGAAAATTTTGCATGAGCTAAATCCGCTTAAAGACGTAATGCGCGCCTGAAATGGCTGACTACGTTGAATTATATAAAATGTATTTAAAAGAGTATTTTCTATAAATTAAAGGGAACAATATCTAAAATAAGATTGGGACAAAGAAGCAACTGTTGTAAACCTATTTTTATTATCATCCAATACAATCAAATAAGTTAGCATTTGAAAAAAAAAATCTAGTGGATAAGCCCAAATATTTTGCTCCTACCAAACAGCACTTACTTTTATTTATCACTTATAACTTTCTTTCATTACATATATGCTTATCTATTCTGAAAATTGTATTGTCGGGTGAACTGCGCTGTTTAAGCAGAACCTATAAGTATGTTTCTTGATACAATTTTGAAATTTGAGTGAGTAGACAAAACAATCAGCGTTTGCCTTTGGAAAAACTATGAACGCTGGGTCTTTGTTAGGGTCTGCTGGTTTGAGGCCTTCCTCCTAAACTGCACTTTCAATTTGAAGGGAAAGTCGATACACAGAACATACCAGAAAATTTCAGTCCAATTAAAACATCCTTAGTTAGAAGCTAGTTTGATTAAGCACCCTCTGTGGTGGTTGAAGTTTTTTCAAGCAATGATGACATCAACATCTCTTCTTTTTGCAAACAGAGAAGAAGCTCTTCTGGCCCTCCCCAAATCTTCACAGAACAGTCCCAGCTGATCAGGAGTGGCTCTGCTCATGAAGACAATATTGTTGTGGACTCTATATTACTTCCTAATAACACACGTGACTCTGTAGAATCTGGCATGAATGGGGAAGCTGGCTATAAAATAATGGATGAACACCACCGTGAAGTAATAAATGAAGTTATCCCTTACAACATGCCTCTACAGCCAAGTTTATTCAATGGTATATCGATCCAACCCTCTCACGGATCTTCTACCTATACTGATCAGTTGGCTTCTGAGGCACAACTGTTTGAATGGTCTGATAAACAGCATAAGATACAATCTGAAGACCTAATCTTTGATCAGAATGACAGGGATGAGCTGAAAAACAAATGCAGGGATGACAGTTCTCCAAACGACTACTCTCAGAGGTGAGGAATATGTTTTATTGCTTTGCTGTTGGTAATTAGCATGGCACTGACCTACAATTACTATCCCAGTTGCCCACAGTGACTTCTTTTCTGTAATGTACTACGTATTTTAGACTTCTAGTTTAAGAGCCGGTTTGTTACTGTTTAAATTGGTTGAAGTGGCTGATTCAGTTAAGTTATTGAAGTTATAGGCAAAATGACTGAATTGACTAAATTGTCTTAATCATCTAAAAAATATTTAAAAATATATGTTTAAATGAAGCAATTTTTTTTTTAAAATAGAAGTATCAACTTCATCCATTTTAGGAAAAAATAATCCCTGTAGTTTTTTCTCATTATAAGATGATTAAGCCAGCACAGAGAAATAAGTATAAGTTGGTTTTTGGTGTAAAATTGCTTGATAAGCTGAAAATGAAGTCCACCAAAGGGGCTCTTAGTTAGTAGTTTTCAACTGTTTCACATAACTTTTTTTATTTGAACAGGTTGTTGAATACCCTAAACCAGACAATGGCATCTATGGGAGTTGATATGTCACAGGCAAATATTTCAGTTGAACTTGATGTTGGTAATTATACAAGCAGCAGAACTGCCGTTTCTGCATTTAATGGTTGCGAGAATTATGACCATGCTCATAAAAAGCTCAGAAGATAGCAGTTAATTAGGAGTTCTGGTCTTACCATTGAAAAGGCGCACCTTAGTCTCCTGCATCTCACAATTTTCCCAGGCAGACAATTGAGGTAGTTTGCTTGTGTGTTATGTACATTCTATTTCCCTTCCTTATGCCGGGGCTTGCAAGTCTTTCTAAAACTAGGATGATATACTTCTTTTATAAATATTGTATGTACAAAGAATTGATTTCTATCTAAACACGAGAAGCTGTGTTTCACTTTTTGTAGGCTGTTTACTCACCCGTCTTATAATTTTGGAGAATTGATTGTTCTTATAGGCTTAAATATGTTTATCATCCCTGCTAACGTAACATTTTTCATTTAGATGTGTAATATGATGGTTCTTTAAAAATTAGATTTTTTCAAAACTCCTCTATGATTTTCAAGTCAACTTTCATAACTCATCAGCTACTATAAGGGGAGTTTGGGTACAAAAACTCACCATTCAACTTTCTATAAACGTGTCTTCTGGCTTTTTTTTAAATAAACCACTGGTTATCAACTTTTCTTTTTTAAAGGGAAAATTCACCCCAATAAACCCAGCTATTAGCGCTCTAACGTCCTTCCCACATTAATCTCATATATTTATAATTCCAAAATAATCCAAATTTAAAGATTGTTCTTCTCAAAATGGCCTCAGGTGACCTGGAACTTGTTTGACCACTAAACCCTAACATTTTTTCCGTATCCCTGAAAGACCTCCCTCTGTATCACTCTGTGCTATGCCCAAACCATGGCTTGGATTTGTTATTCCGAAAGAAGAAGACAGGGAAAAGCGTGAAGAATGAGCCACAGTTTCCCTTTCAAATTCGAGGGTGAGAAGCCCGATGAAACTCGAAAGAAGAATTTTTTTCGTTCACCAGAAAAACACCCGGAGGACGAAAAACGGGAAAAAATGCGTAGTCGTGCACCAGTTTCGGAAAAATTAAAAGATAAGGGTTAGAAGTGTCTTTGACAGTAAAGTTGGAGGACCAAAAATGGGAAAATTTCATTGGACATGTTTCATACTTTCAATCCCATATCAACAGACTGGACTGCAACAGTTGTAAAATACACATAGAACAAACATCTACAAGACTAAACTTAAACAAACTAACCAGATCATCAGACCAGACCAGATAATTTTAGTCCGATTAAAAGCATCCTTGATTTTTTTTTGTAATGGGGGTAATGATGATGATTTTTTTGGCAGTAACGAATTGAATGGAGTTGCTTTGCTGGCCATTCTTCTTCATTCTTCTTTCTTCCCAAATGGGTCTTCTTGACCCGTCTTACTTCGTGTTTCTGCAAATGAAGAATCTCTCCAGATTGAGAGTGTCCAACTTTACTAATAATTGGGATTTCACTAATGGAGCACCTCGTCAATTACCTGGAATTTTTCGCAGCAGCAATGGGAGGAAGAGATAGACGCTATCGGGAAGACAAAAGAAGAAGAAAGAAGATGCAGCTGTGCAGCACAGACGCGATAGGGAGGAGAAAAGAAAAGATAAAGGAAATAATAGTAGGATGGTAGGACCAATCAAACAAGCCATGTGATCAAGTGACCTGGTGAAGTGATTAATTCAGGTCACCCGTACGTTTTTAGAAGATGCTTTATACTCCGCGTATTGAAATTTGAAAATAGACATATTTGAGAATTCTGGGACTGTCCGCAGTTGGGATTATTCCTGTGAATTTTTCCTTTATAAATGATGTAGAAAAGCTAGACTTGTGTTTTATGATCCACCTTAGTTTTTGTGGGCGGAGTATGACAGATATGAAGTTAGATACTAAAAAGCAATAAATGCATACACTGCAGAGATGAGAATACAAAACAAAAATTACAAGGACATAAACAAAAAAGGCAAAATATAGCCTGACCAAAAAACTTATTTAAGCCTTCTTTATAAGAAAAAGAACAATTAATGTATTCAATTTTGTGAACGATCACTCGATCAGCAGTTGCCGCTATAAGCTACTATGTATTTGTATAATGCATTAGATTGCCTATACACACACAAGATTTGTACAATGAGGACCTTATCTATTAGAAAAATTATATGAATCATGAAGCACCTCCTTGATTCTTCAAGCACTCTTGTGGATTGGCATAAAAGTTGTCCTCTTTCTTTGGTTTCCCCGGAATCATAGACCGTGCTTTGGGTTTCCCTGTTCTGTTTATGTGAGTTTTCTTCATGACCAATGAGTATTGACCCCATGTTATATTACCAGCCTTGTATTGGTCTGTTAAGCGAACTATAACTTTCCTGTCTAGTAGAATAGTCTTCCTGAAACCTAAGTACCTGCAGGGCGAAGTAAGGTTTGAACAGGCAAGGAAAATGAACACCTCTGACCTCTCTGACTTTGACCTTTTTTGATAGCATAAATTATATTGTTCTGTTTATTAGAATAATAAACAATACTTCGTACTCCCTCCATATCAAAATAACTGTCCCAGTTTCCTTTTCGAATTGTATCAAATTAATTGGCTCATTTCTTTTTTTGAAAGAAATCGATCCTAAAAGCAGCTACAATATACTTTAATTAAGTATACAGTACTGCTATAGTACCAAAAACCTTTTACTTTTTGCAAATCATACAATAATTATCTTATAACATTATTTTAAACTACATGAAAAATCAAATGTGATAGTTATTTTCATACGAAGGGAGTATAAAACAAGCTTTTGAATTGGCTGGAATAGATTTTTCCAAATGTTTTTATTTATAGAAAATTCAACACATCATCATCAACCTTTACCAAACACGCCATGTAACCACTTGAGTAGCATACAATTGTGAAACAAAGAAAAAAGTGGTTACCTGCGGTGACCTTCAACAACTCTGGCCATGTTTCCAGCATAGGTTGGAACAAAGATATCACTCTCTAGTGAGACAAGGTAATCTAATGCTGCCATCTGTGATTGATGTCCTTTGAATAGCCTCAGTCCTAAAGGTTCAAGCAGGGTCTCCTTCCTGACCTGTATTCTTAGTTAATACTAAAAACAACATTATTTCAAAAATTCAAAGGCTTAAATATGTCTATGTTTCCGTTCTTGCAAGTATAAGTTTATAACACTTTTCTTTTAGCTGACTTCACTTATTTTTTGGTTATTCATTCTTGAAATTTTGCTGTTTCCTTTTTTAGTTCCTTCATTTCATAAAAAATGATGCGGAAGAGTTAGACTGAAGTGGAAGTAGCATAAGTTTTTCTAAACATAAGTTGACGTGGAAGAATTTCCTAAACATTTTTTTTCCTAAAAAGAAATCACTATTGCTCAAAACAAAAAATGTTTTATTTGCAGAAATGTAAAACATACTCAAGACTATTTCGAACGTAATTTTTTTTAGGACATATATAGAGTATTACTTACCATATTTGGAAATGCTGCAAACAAATTTTGCAGTCTTCTTGGTCCACCATATATTTCTCCAGATGCTAGGTATATTTGAAAACTGGGATTGATTCCCAAGGCTTGAAGAGTCAGAGCAGTTTCTTCAGGTGTCAATGGGCAGAGCCCTTTTCTCCTCTTTAATTCAGAATTTATGATTTTCTCCTTCCATCGTTTAGTAGAATACCTAAACATGGGCCATGGTTGGTGTTGGGTTTCACTAGGTAAGAGTGTTAGACCCAACATAAAAAGTTACTCTTTAGGACTTGTTCACTTGGACATATTTTAGTAACAATCCAGATCAGATCATACTAGACTGGGTTACACAAATTCATACTGCACATGAATAGATTAGAGCAGATGTGTTTAGATTGGACTTGAAGAGTAATATAATACTAGTTTAGACCAGAATAGACTTAAGCGAATAAGTCCAGACCAAATAAAACATAAACAGTCCAGACCAATTCTAACAAGACCGTACCAGATCATTAAGTCTCACAGCTGTTCATTTGGATTGAAAGTTACTAGTTTGATCAAGTTTGATTTGTTTAAATCTGGTATGATTCGTTTGATATATGTAACTAGTTTGTATGTCCCGTTATGTCAATTTTAAGTTTGACCTATGATTTAAAGAACCAAAATAAGCAGGTCTTCCATCCAAATGAACAAGTCCTTATTGCCGGTTTGGATGTGGAGGTTTTATTAGGGGATTTTTTGTGATGTCTTAGTTTATGTCTTCACAAACAACATGTTTCAAATCATTAAAGGGTAATTAGATTTTTTTGTGATGTCTTAGTTTTTTGGCTCACTAAACTGTGTGCGCTTCTATCTTATGAAGCACACGGTAATGATGATGACGACGACTTTCAAATATATACACAGATATACACTTAGCCCTCTTCCCTAAAACCCTACACCAAAATGTAATGGGTACCCAACTTACCTCATTCTAGTAAGCTCATCTGCCTCTTCATCGCTGCAACCATGGGTGCACCCAGAGAAGGCTAACATATCCATTTCATACCTAAGATGGAGTGCCATATAAGGACCATTTTGCCTCAAAATCTTGATAACTTTCTGAGCAGATTCTTCTATGTGAGAAGAGAACCTCAAAGCACTGAAGTTCACTTTGCATCGCAACTTCTGAATCCCCAGAGGTAATCCATTGTTGGCCAACCTTGAATCAGTTCTATTGAAGCGTACAACTTCATACTTTTTTATCTGCGGAAGAATCTGCTCCACATTTCATACATTAGCTGTTAAGTACATCAGTTAAATACTTTTCCCCAGAGTTAACTTTTTATTTATTTATAGAAACAAGTCGTACCCCAAAATCTTTTGGGAATAAGGCTTGAATGTTGTATAGAAATACGTCCTATTTGAACCAAAAGCAATCAACAATGTTAACTTTAGGATGTTTTCACTTGGACATAAATTTGTCTGGTTTGGCCAGGTATGTCTAACTCAGGTGTGGCTTGAACTAGTCTATCATTACGTGAGTATTACTATTATTCCAGTCTATTCAAATTCAGCTCGTTTAAGTATCTTCTAGTGTGAATTAATTAAGACCAGTCAAGTTTGGTCTAATCTGGTACACGATTGATCGAAACGGTCCAAGTGAAAACATTTGTTCGTTCAACATACAAATAGCTTTGAAATTATAAGTAAAGATTGATAGTTTACCAGGAGGTACCGTACGTACTTGATCATGGTAGTATGAAAGGTTTGACCAGCTCACAGGTGACAACTCGTAAAACATTCCAAGTTGTACCCTTCGCTTAAGTCTAGGAGGTAGCTCTCTGAGGATATGAACCTCATCCCTCAACGATTCAATGAAATGATTAGCATCAAATATGTCCTCAAAATCACTGCATGCCAAACACAAACATCTATGCTCTCTCACTATGTATATAATATATATAAACTCTGATAAGGTGATTCTAAATTTGGCCACAAACCCACAATTGTAATATAAATAATGCATGAACTTTTCATATAAAACATTGGGCATTTGGGCTACTCAACACCAAAGTCACAAATTAGTGATGATACTAGCTAGTTAGGAAGTACTATTATAGATGCACCTTGGATCAGACCAGAAGGAAGTTTTGTCGAGCTCTGGCACAATAAGAGTGACATTTAAGTATTGTGCAATGGCAACCATGTCGCATATCTGCATAGTTGTTGAGAATTATTGCAAATATATAAATTAATGCTTTTATCAGTTCCATAGTACTTGACCCAGATTATATTCCTGAGTTAATTAATCAAATTCTCTTTTGAATTCATAAGGAGACACTACTGTTTTTTCATTTCCAAATCCAGTTTGCTGAATGTGTAAATTTTAAGTGTTAAAATTAAGGTAAACATTAATTTTTTCAATCAAACACATTGTAATAGTCTTGGACAATTCCAGGTAGTATTAAATTAAAATAGAGATAGCAATAACAACAATAATGTATGTACATAATCGAGATGAACCTACTGCAGCTCGCATTTGATTAAGCCCACCATTACAAGAAACTACTAGGTAGCCATTGTTGTTGTGAACTTCTCCTGCAGGTATAACAAGAAAACAAGAACTTAAGAGCTAATACTAAAGGGTCTCGTACTCTCGTTCGTCATAATACTATATTTATTCCTAGAAAAAAGTTTTTTGCGCTTTCCCTAGCATATAGCTAGGGGGCCGACTTGGGCTCTAGCCCACCCCAAATTTAGTAAAAACATTTACTGTGTATAAATGTATGTGAACAAATTATTTGGAAGATCTTTTTACTAGCCCACCCTAGAACTTTTCATGCCTATGCCGAGAAGTAAAGTTTTAATTGACCAAAATGACCAAGACTGCAACTAGATCCAAGAGAATAGACAGTCGCTCACTCATTGAGGAAAGAAATGAGGTTGGAATTGGTTGGAGAAGATGATCATGAGACACATTATTATTATCGTTACTCTTGGAACGAAAATGGTTCCGAGAAGGCCAAGACTTGAGGAGGAGGAGCTTAGAGCCCCAAACTTCTCCAATGGCAGACAACTGAGCAAAGCAAGTCCACAACAGCAATATAGTGATACCCCTCATAATCCACATCTTCATCCTCACACTGCAATACACCGTCACCTTGCTATTATTCCGCACTCCACTTGACGATAATGGGAACTTCACCCTCTTCATTGTAAATGCGGTGGAGGCCTCAACCGAGCACAACCCAAAAACCCGACGCTCTTGCAAGTCGTTGATACCGATGAAGAATGGTGAGATCTTTTATCACATGAAGGAACCAAATGTGTATTTAAACCATCCTCTCTCATGATGTGCAAATCAAGAAGTTTAGAGCTTGAAGATTGACAAGTGCAAGGAGTATAGGAAAGGATGAAGTTATAGAAAAGTTTGAGAATAGGGTGATGACGCATTTGACATTTTCCTCTCATAAGTTGGCCGGGGAAAGAGGCAAAGTAGTAGAAGAAGAAGAAGAAGACGTGCATGAAGAAGTGATCAATGAGATGATGTAATTAACTAAAGGCTAGTGGATCTTTGAGTTTAGGTGATTGTCGGTGCATGTGGTTTATTTATTTTACATGATTGTTACTTGCATAACAAAGAAGTAAATACAAATTTTTAAAAATAATACGTTGTAATAAAAAAGGTATATAAGATCATATGGGAATTACTATAAAACGCAAAATGGGTGTTCCCAATATAGAATATAAGGATTTTTGAAGATTTATAAAGTTTGTGAATAGGAATAGACATACACAGTATAATTTATTCCAATAAATTCTATTGAATATGAGGATAATTAAGTGGTCGAATTTTAACAGGAACACTCCTTTTAGCTTAGAGTCATGAGAGCGTACATTGTACAGCCGGTTATACGGTAGGTGCTCACCGTACAACCAGGTACTTTATGTTAAACAATGAGTGTAACATTTAAAAGAAATGTTACTGGTATTAATTCACTGTATTAGTAGCACAATTAAATATTGATATCATGATCTACATTTAATATATATTCTTCAAATCAACTTATTCATTTAATTATATATCATTGTATTATCATTTTGTTGTGCTAATTTTATAATTCAATATCAATACTCATCTATTTTAAACTTAATACTCATTTTTTAAGAGAATCCATAAAGTCCTTTAATAAGGGAGATTCTTGAATTTTAACTTAATGCAAATTAAATTCTTAATTAAGGACGTGGCATTACAAATTTCATGAAGTGTTTTTATGGCGTAGGGTTTGTAAAACTGAGTTGTTGTAATTTAGGGAGTAGTTATTTCTTGTAATAAATACGGAGTATATAATAATAAAATGGTTAAATGGGTCGTTTTCAACACCAATTAGACTCCTTGTAAACATTTATTTGCTCGAATTGACTTCATGGCGATCATTTTGGGTGGCAAGTTCTTGTCATATTCCCTTTTTGTTTAAATAAATTATTATACTTTCACTTCATAATAATTGTTTTGTTTTAAAAAATGGTACTTTAACGTTGATGCTAAATGGTTACGTTCGAAATTAACAAAAACTGCATCACATGGCGGCTACAGTAATTGAGAGCACTGTGTTATGACTTATGAGCCGCCTATTTTTTGCATTTGTTACCAAAAATTGATAGAGTATTGCTTTACTCCGTATTTATTTTGCCTACTCCACTGACCACTGATACACACATATGTTTTTTACTTCAAATTTCATAAAAACAATTTTGTCGTTGGAATAATTTGTTTGCACGCACACAAGTTTGTCTTTGAGAACACAAATCATCTTATCAGCAATGTGGACAATATTTTTGTGAGGGATGTTATATTAAAGATCAATGATGTACATGCAATCAGGGGAGGAGCCAGGGGTCAAGGTGGTCAGTTGACCCCACTGAAAGTTTGAAAGTATAGAGCTCTGAAATATCTTCGATTTGATATATTATGGCTCCCATAACTCATTACGAGTAAAAAGTTATGACTTCTGCAAAATCAACACTATCTAAACGTAAAATTAGCAAAATTTGATGCATATTATATTATAGATTATTTTTACAAATTTTAAAATTAGGGTATAATTCAGTCAATACTTGCATGAATGACTCAGAATCAGAGCAAAGACAATCTATCTTTTTGCTACGAGTGTCTATTTATCTAAACTACATATGAAATATTCAAATTAGACATTGTTTAAAAACGATCTAACATTTTCATTCTGTATATAGGTTGAGTTTCGACCCCCTGAACCATTTTTCTGGCTCCGACCCTGCATGCAATAAAACATTTTGTTAGTAATTCCAATAAGCCTATACTAGAAGGCTGATGTACCGTGTGTATGGTACATCACTGTAGTTCAAATGGACACTCATTTGATTAAAAAAATGAGCGTTATATAAAGATATCAATTATATTCTAATGAGCATGCATTAGTTTGAATGAACATTAGATGGACAAATAATACATGACCATCTTTGGATTTGCTTTATAAATGACCTATCCTTAATTATAGTTGTTAATATTAGTAAATACTAGTACCATGTTAAGACCTGAAGTTACATATAGTATATTACAGCTTTATACAAATATTTCAACAATTACTAATCTTAGACTAAAAATTACTAATCTTAGACTAAAAATTAAAGACCCTAGCTAAGGAGTGCGATTTTTGGGTGGACGTAGATCTACTAGAAATAGTGCAAATAGAAAGGAAACAAATTCCTACCTAGATGACCTATATTCCTCTCTAAATAGGCTAATTACGAATCTGCATAGGAAATGGAAATCAAACAGATCCCTGTTCGCACTCAATTTTTTTAGAAAACAAACTTACATATATATTCATAAAATACATTAAAAGTTTTTCAAAGTCGCAAAACCAGAATCAAATTTGATAAAAATTTAATATATAAAGTAATAGATTAAGAGTGATGTAACCAATCATTCCAGCCCAGCTGGTTGTGAGGTTATCGTGCCTAGTGGGAGGTCTTGAGTTCGAAACCTGCTAAGCACATAAGAGTTTGAAATTCAATGGAGTGAGTTTCAGCCCTGTTAAGTCCAGGGCCCCAGCTCCCCTCCCCCAGACCCCCCTGGAATAAAAAAAAGAAAACAAAAAAAAAAGAAAAAAAAAAGAAGAAAAAAGATTAAGAGTAATGTGTGTTGACCAATTGAATATGAACTGAGATAATTTTATCTGGATGAGGGAATAATTTGTAGTTCCTATCTATGTCCCTTGAATGTAAAATAACAATTGGGACCTGCACGTCTTCTTCTACTACTACTTTGCCTCTTTCCCCGGCCAACTTATGAGAGGAAAATGTCAAATGCGTCATCACCCTATTCTCAAACTTTTCTATAACTTCATCCTTTCCTATACTCCTTGCACTTGTCAATCTTCAAGCTCTAAACTTCTTGATTTGCACATCATGGGTCGTTTTCAACACCAATTAGACGGTCACTTATGTCTTTTTTTTTTTACTCAGGGGGTCTGGGGGGCCTAAGGGGCCTGAAGTAATTAGGGAAACTCACTTCATTGAGTTTCGAACCCTTATGTGCCTAGCGAGTTTCGAACTCGAGACCTCCCACTAGGCACGATAACTTCACAATCAGTTGGGTTGGAATGTGGTTAATTTTAAAACTTACTACCTCCGTCCCGGGACGGAAGAGAGTGACATGGTTATTAAGAAAAGTGAGTTTGTGTGGTTGATATTAATTGTTAAAGTAATAATAAAGTAAGAATGATTTAGAGCCACACAAACTTTGTCAAATATGGTATGAGACAATTTAAATGGGACTTCCCGAAAAGGTAAAACGAGACAATATAAATGGGACGGAGGGAGTATATGTCTTGGTCTCTTTCGTTAGTTTTTCTTATATACGGAGTCCTACCTAAATCGGTATATATGATAGTGGGATTGACATAATCACTACATAGCCATCAATAAGTGAAATGCTGAGTAGATTTGTTAAGCGTGATAATAGGGTTGGGTCCAAAAAAACAAAAACCGAAAACCGAATCAAATTAAATCGAACCGTGAGCCCGCGACCAAATAAAACCGAACCGCTAAAAATCAAAACCGAATGTAAAAAACCGAACCGAACCGAACCATAGTAGTTTGGTCCAGTTTTGGTTTTCCCTTCAAAACCGAACCAAACCGAACAAACTGAACAAAAATAAAATATGAAATTGTATTTGTTAAATGTAACCATTAATCTTAATATCATCAATAATCTTTGAATTTCTTGTGCTAGAGAAATAATGTTTGTGCTATGTTTACTTTAGTTTAGTTTATAAATGCATTTACACGTTCATTGCCCATAATGTAGCTATATTGATCTATTGTGTTTTTTATGCATGTATGTATGTATGTTGCATGATTATATGTTTTTACTGGTTATTAGTAGTAATTAACTTTTATTTTATGTAAATTAAATTTTTTGTATTGATAAAACAAGTAAATATTCATCTCAGCTATATCACATAGGACGTATGTATGCATAAACTTTTTTCAAACTAGTCACAAACAATGTAAATTAAGAATAGATACACACTTTTATCTCTCCCTCATACTCATATAATTCAAGACATATTTGTTTATTATTATTTTCTTTATTTGTTCAAGTATGCTTACATTTTTATGCAATACGTTTGATCCCACCAACTTTTAAATCAAATGACAATTTTTTAGTAAAAAAGCGAAAAAACCGAAACCGAACCAATCAAACCGTGGTTCCAAGTTTTGGAGTGTAAAACCGAACCAGACTTTTACTTTGGTTCCGTATTTGGTTTTAGGTCAAAACCGAACCGAAAAAATCGAACCCACTCCTACGTGATAATATGTTCCACTGAAAAAATGAAAATTATTCCATCATAAAAGCGAGAGAATTTGTACAGTTTGTTACTAGAGAATTACAATTTGTTAGTGAGTATGTTGACATGATCCCTATATATTGTGATGGGATAGTTACTATTAAACAATCATTTTATTTTTGAGTCAAGTACTTTTGTTCACTTGTCTATTTAATCATTAAGTTACTCCCTCTGTTCACTAACAATGAGACAAGAGGAAGTGACACACAAACTAATAAAAAGTGGTTTGTTTGGTTGATATTGAAAT